CTCAAAATTCACAAAATAAAAATCTCATACATGTTCGATCCATGACACATATAAATCTAAATAAATCCAAAATAGACCTTGATGTTGATTCTTCATTTGTTGGCGTGGAACGTGAATCCAAACCTTTCATTGTCCTGTAAGTCCATAAACATTGAAACAGTCCAGTGACTTTAAAAAAAAAAAAAAAAAGTAAAGTAATGTAGGAAAATTTAGAAGGCAAATGTGTGTCGAGATGTAGAAGAAAAAAATCTCAGTTACTGTGCAATCTAAAGAGTCTCTTGGCTTGAAAATCAGTGAGAAAGGAAGAAATCAGGCTCAAAAGTCATACCAGCTCACACCCCCAGGTTAACGATGAACCTAACTAAATATGAAGTCCGAACCCCCCATGTTTGATCAGCACAACATCTGATTTCTATCCTTTTAATCAATGAGCTGAATTTTCTTCTTAAAAGGCATCTAAACTTTAAATGCCAAATCACGAAAGTTAACAATTTCTTCATACTGCATGACCATCATACATAGGAGAAAGATATTAACCAAACACTGTCACAATTTCATCATATTGTCTCTTTCCTACGCATAAATTTTTTACCCAACATGCCTAATTTATTGACCAAACACTGTCACTTCATAATTCCATGAATATACAACAAAAACATGACTCAGATCCCATTTGGGGTTGTACTAGCTTTTTAAAAAGTACTTCCATAGTAGATTTTTAATAAAAGTACTTTTCAATTACTTATGTGCTTTTAAATATATTGTTTGGAGACGTAGTTCAATAAGTACTTATTGTATTGAATAATGTGTAATTTAAAAATTTTTGAAAGTATTTATCTCTTTAATTGATTCATAATATCTAATAAAATGATTAAATTTGATGTTTTATTTTTTAAATCACAAAAGCTACTCTAAGACCACATTTGGGGTTGCAGTGTTTTTGGTAGAAAAGTACTTTTAAATGATAAAAGTACCTTTAAAGCATTTGGTAAACATCATCCCATAAAATTAGGAGTAGAGTTTTTAGTGTTTAAAACACTTTTAGCAAAAGTTTAATTTTGGTGCTTTTAGAGTAGTTTTTGTGATTTAAAAAATAAAATATCAAATTTAATCATCTTATCTAATTTTATGAATCAAATAAAGAGATAAACACTTTTAAAAATTTTCAAATTACATATTATCTAATACAATAAGTACTTATTAAATTATATCTCCAAACAATATATTTAAAGCATTTAAACAGTTAAAAAGTACTTTTATTAAAAACTCTACTATGGAAGTACTTTTTAATAAGCTAGTACAACCCCAAACGGGCCCTACAAGTATCAAATTTGATCTTTTGCTAAAAGTACTTTTAACACTAAAAACTCTACTTTGAATTTTATAGGATGATGTTCACTAAACACTTTAAAAGTATTTTTACTACCTAAAAGTATTTTTTTATCAAAAGTACCGCAACCCCAAATGCGGCCTTAGTCATTTTTTCCCATCATTCTTGTTACATGACGTATCTTGTTTGCATGTTTATGTTAATTCAATTAAGCCTAGAGTTGTAAATGAGTTGAATCGAATAAAGTATCTTATGTTTGAATTCTACTCGTTAAACGATTCGAACAAGGTTCGTGTTCATTCGCTAACTTTCGAACTCCAAACCTGTGTTTGTGTTCGGCTGATTAAGCAAAATTCGAGTTTATGTTCGACTTGTTTAACATAAATGATCCGTCTGCAGACAGGTTCGAAAAGCTCGTATCTAGATCGATTTTTTAAAGCCCTAAATATGCCATACAAATCATTAATCATTCTCAAAAATAATTAAAGCACTAAATGGCTAAATTCCATTATTCACTAACTACATAATCAACATTCACATAAAAACAACAAATAAAACAAAGCAATTTGTCCTCCAAATATAAAAGTCCAGTCATAAGACAAGTACAAATTAGCATCCACTTCACAATTTAACTGCTACTACATCCAATTTATCTATCCACCTGAATGCTTCAGCCACGGCAAAGAACATGGAGTAGCAGGACCAAATTCATTGCAGTTGAAAGACTTAGGTGGCATAAGGCATGCGAATTTTTCAATAGATTAAGGGTGCACGGTTGCATTCATTCTATTTTGGCGGCTAATTGACTTCTACTTGAGCCTGAGAGCCTCCCCTCAACAGGAATATTTTGCTTTTAGCTCGTTCAAATAAGACTTTTTTTCTAAAATTATTGGTCGACATCTCAAATAAAGATTAAGTAGCTACTTTACTCCGTGCTCTCAAAAACCTGCTTTACAGAAAAATAGCATGTGAATTCATAATTTCATGGTGACAAACATATGTACTATGAATTACATCAAGTAAAAGGTAAATACGAAGTATTTGTAAGAAACAGGATGGCAAGGACTGAGCAATAAACTTTTTCCTTGTTACACTATGTAAAAACGGAATGTCAAGGACCAAGCGAGAAACATTTTCCTTTCACATTTTTGTGAGAACGAGATGACAAGGACTAGACCAAAACTATTTTCCTTTTACAAATTGTAAAATGGTTTGGAAAGGGCATATTATTTTTTAACGAAGTGCTGTTGCTTTTCTCCTACACACTAGCTTCTTAAAGACTGAATGTGTGGATTACATTGATTAATTAGCCAACTTTTCCTATAAGTAAATCAATTCTTAAAGAATGAGTATTTTCTCCACTGTCTTCGGATTTGATTCTCGTACTTTACGATTGGAGGCTTGAAAATTGAAACTCAGATCATCACAAAAAAACGTGTCAAATTGTGCATGCGACCAAACATGCTGTCCCCCACTGTCGGTAGTCAGAGGACGGTTTCGTCTAGGAAATGGTGCAACCGTCCCTGAACGATTAATGGCCCTGATTTGGCCTCAAAAATTTGTGCGGCTGAAATTACAAGTTGTAACTCGATTTCCACGCCATGTGTGGATCCCACAAAAATTTGCTCTAAAGTTACGCGATGTGCAAAAAAAATAACACGATGTACAAAGAAAGTTACGCGCAGTTAATAATGACCAAAACTGCTTGGGACGGTTGCACCGTGCCCCGAGTCCGTTACGTCTACGGTAGAAAGTTCACTTTTCTGCCCATAGTAGGCAGAAGCAATGCAAGGAGGCCAACTGTGCTTTGTGGGAGCGCAAAAAGCAGGATATCTGGGCACAGTGGCAAAGTCGGTGAAAAATATAATATATTTTAAAATCACAATAAAAGTCTTTTTAAAAATTTGTTCATCATCTAATGCCCAATACTTATATTTGATAAATTAAAATAGTTAATTAAATATTATAACATAAGATAAACAACTATATGTGATTGAGTTGATTGAATAATATTTTCTTTTTCTTTTTTTTGGCATTTCAACTAGTTGTCAATTAAGTTTCAATTGAAATAAAAATTTTATAATTATTTAAATTATTCAATAAAATTATCAATTTAAGATGAACACAAAAATAAATACATTAAGTTGTATTATTGAAATATTTGATTTACTATGAAGGAAAGACAAGAAGAAATAGCAAGAAATTTTTTAAAATTCATGTGAATCATTTATATTGTTAATCGCCTTTATTTGTTATTGTAATCACAATGCCTAACCATAACCGATTGAAATTCATATCCACAAGTCGTACAACAATTTGTGTTATACTGTTTACAATTAAATTTACTATATACTCAAATTAAAATTCTCTTTTTTTTTTACTAAATTTTCTTTTACATATGATTTATGTGTTATCATTTATTTGTAATTAATTTAACGAAAAGATGCTCTTTAGGCTAAATAATATGTTTTGACAATGTGGGTTACTTTTAAGTATTTTAATGAGATTTAGAACACATTTTTTATGCATTTAATCTAATTCACATTTATTAATGATCCACGACCATACATATTGATAGATCGAATTGCTATTTATTTGCTGAATAGACAGATTGATTGAAAAAATCATGACTATAGTTAACAATAAAACACTCTGAAAAGACCACATACGACGAAGCGTATAACTTGTACAAATCTTTCCATTTTCTAAGTCGATCCGATCCATTCATTCGTAGAGCTATTCACTCGATCGCAGACATTTCTGGAACACCTCTAACAGAGGGACAAGTAGTCAATTTTTATTTCATTTGAAATATAATTATTTAAAACTTAAGGGACCGTATTGATTAAATTTTCAAATATTAGGAAAAAAAAATAAAAAGTCAAACTTTTGACTAATTCTAACTTGATTTTGACCGTTAGGAGTTTTCTATTAGTTGCCTTAAATTTGCACTAAAATAAAAATTTTGGGACATTTATTTTGGTCAAAATATCAGAAACTAGTTTAACTCATAGACCAAATCATGGGGAACCAAAATTGCACATCTTCCTTTATTTTAATCATGTTTGATATCCCAACTCTTCCTTTTATATTTATGCTTCAATTATTTCAAATATCAAACTAAATTAAAAAGTAAAAACTACCACAATATTTATTTGGACATGTACAAAATTTAGTAAAATAATGTTGAAAATTTCACCAAATTTCTGTTACAACAATTTCATCTATCTTTCTGTACCTTTGTTTTCCACATTTATTTGACATTCACTTTTTCGCTCTTCACTTTTCATTGGGATCCACATCTTCATTGGAGTGTTCACAGAATATTTTCTAAGTAATGAATATTAGATGATGAACAAATTTTTAAGAAAGCTTTTATTATAATTTTAAAATGTATTGCAGTGCCCGGTACATTATTTCTCTTTCGATCTTTGTGCGTCCCCACAGAACACAGTTGGCCTCGTTGCATTGCTCTGCCCACGGCTTTCCACCGTAGACGTAACCGTCAGGGGACCAACGTCGATGTACACCTTTTTCCGTTACTTAGGTTATGATAAAAGTGGGAATATTCCGTATTGATTTGCTCCATGCACATCACTAATGCCCAATCATCAGGTAATACACAAATAGAAAAGTTCTTAGATATTGCGCTTTACCTTTGTCCGGAAAAGGTATCAAATCAAAGTCGAATTATTTGCTTGAGAACTGAAAAATAATAACTTAATGTCGACATTTTCAATAAAAGTCAAAACATATTACTCTATCGATCGATGGCAAGTGTCATTCATTCTATTTTATAATATTTCAAAATTCAAACACTAGCTTACTTAAATCAGATGGGGGGCTTCTGCAGTCACTCTATTTTTTTTCAAGTCTACGAGTCTCATGTCCGAGTGATGAAGATCGTTTTCAACTTGTTTGACTTGATGGTTCGTTCTCTTCTCAATTCCTTCGCAGATTCTGTTATGGTCTCCCAATTGTGCAGCTACCCAAATTAAAGAATATTAATGGTTGGCACAAATTGACACGGAGGGAGTTAAAAAAAAAAAAGGAATAAACAATTCAAAGACAAACTTTTGTAAAACAACTTGACTCTTTTATCTCTGAATCCGCCAACCTGCCGCCAAATCTTGTCTGTGGATGGATGTTCAGGTGTCTCGACCACAAGTTGGCAGCAGCCCTGCACTCCTATGACCTGTTTCAGAATTCACATATAACTATATATATCCACAAAAGCTTAAGAAAACCCATCAAAATAAACTAAAAATTTCCAAAAGAAAGAAAGAAGTACAAGTCTTGAGCGGAAGGACTTTTATGACGAGCCCTCCAAAGATGAAGAGGGCGATAAATATCAGCTTGGATCGGTAATCAACAGGAAAGACCAACACAACCGGAATAACGGCGAAGAAAATTGAGACTTGGCCCATGAAACTAGATGCCTCGGGGTGATGGCGTTGTAGTATAATAGATGCCCAATAAGCACAAAACATCAGCAGGATAGCCATGCATGACAACGGGAAGGTTGCAGGTACTGGTGCAAGGGTTTGAAAATATTGCAAGGCTATGCCAATGCTAATGGTGGTAAAACAAGGTCCAATCACCGCCGGCAGCCACTGCAAGTTCGTCATGTTATTGTCATCAAGATCATCACCATCATCAGGTTGCCGGTCGTCTGCAGGCAGGTGCTGCTGCCCCTCTATATCAAATCCTGCACTAGGCTCCGGTTGGGTGGTGGGCAACTCTAGTTGAACTGGCCTGTCCGGGATCAGCCGCTTGGGCAGCTTGATCATACTGAAGAAGAAGTAGAGAACGTAGCTGAATATTGGCCACATTTTTTATCAGGGAAATGTTTATAAACTGTATGATCAAAACTTCGGCGCTTTTTTTTTATAGGGGTATGGGAATGGCTGGTGAATGGTGACAATGTCCGCTGTCTTTTTCGATAGGGCAAATTCGTAAAATTTAGGCAATTGTCGTCGCCTCGTCGGGGACTGGACTGGCTCACACCGTCAACAAACGATGTGGGACCCAGATAAAGGAATAGGAAGCCTCTACTAAATACTAACTAGCATTCACTCATTCTATTTTTAATCTCGCCACGTGTCTTTTTTCTTTTGACAAGAAGTTCATCAGCAACACCTAAATTAACCCCACAAGATATAACCAAAAGGCAATTGCTGACTTCTGGTTGCACCCATGGAACTTAAGTACTACTCACTCACATTCTCAACAAACGATGTGGGACTCAGGAAAAGAAACAGGGGAACTTCTACTGAGTACTAACTAGCACTCACTCACTTTGTTTTTAATCTCGCTACATGTCTTTTTTCTTTTGACAAGAAGTTCATCAGCAACACCTAAATTAACCCTACAAGATACAATCAAAAGGCAATTGCTGACTTCTGATTATACACATGGAACTTAAGTACTATTCACTCACACCCTCAACAAACGATGTGGGATTCAGGAAAAGGAATAGGAGAGGTTCTACTAAGCACTAATTAGCACTCGCTCACTCTATTTTTAAACTCGCCACAAGTCTTTTTTCTTGATGGATAGTTATTGACTCATTGTCGCTAACTCTACTTTATCGAGTCGGCTCGGCTTACGGCTCTGTTGCTCGGGGCTCTGTTGCTCGGGACTTTACGGCTCTGTTGTCATAAAAAAGATCGAATACGTGTAGTTTCCGTGTGAGCATGTTGACCAGGACTTTAACATTTTTGGATAATATCCTTTTAACTTCCTTGAAAGAAATATATATTCCCTCGGTCCGGTTGCTAAACTGCTGAGAAATGCTAAAAACTGAGGCGCTCTTTTTTAATAGGGGGATGGGAGTGGTTGGTGACAATGTCGGCCTGTAGCACTGCACTAATGTATGAGCATCCTCTAGAACAACATCATTGATCACTCACTAGCCAAAGTCAATAAACAGATTTTCCAGTCAATATACAAAGTCAAGTTGATCACTCAATGATAGTGTTACACAAATGAATGAACATGCTCCACAAACAACATAATTGATCACTGATTAACCAAATTCAATAATCATATTTTCCAATCAATATACAAATTCATCCATTCAATATAATTGATCACTCATTAATAGGGATATTAATTCTTCGTTTTTAATTCTCTTTTACATTATTAAATCCTCATCCTTTACCGTATTCTATGCTATCCTTACCAATGACTCCAATTTAACTGTGTACTTACCGTTGTTTTCCTATCATCATCTATTTTTTTCATCATATTGTCTCCTTCCTACGGTAAAATTTTCTCACCCAACATGCCTAGTTTATTAACCAAACACTGTCACTTCTTAATTCCATGAATGCGCAACAAAAACATGACTTAGAGCTCGTTTAAGGTTGCAGTAACTTGTTGAAAAATACTTCCCTATTAGAGTTTTTAACAAAAGTACTTATCGACTATTTAAATATTTTTAAATATATTATTTGGAAACATAGTTCAATAAGTATTTATTGTATCGAATAACGTGTAATTTAAAATTTTTTAAAAGTATTTATCTTTTTATTTGGTTCATAATATAGGATAAAATGATCAAAATTTGATATTTTATTTTTTAAATTACAAAAACTACTGTAAAAGTACCAAAATAAGTTTGCTAAATGAACTTTTAACACCAAAAACTCTACTCTTAATTTTATGAAATAATATTTACCAAACATTTTAACAGTACTTTTACCACCTAAAAGTACTCTTGTACTAAAAGCACCGCAGCGTCAAACAACGAGGCCTTAATCACTTTCTTCCAATCATTCTCCTTACATGACGTATCTTGTTTCCTTTCTTCACTCGTCTAGCATCACAATTAAACACAAGGCATTTATGTTAATTCAATTAATAAGACTAACACCCATAATTACAGTACAAACATTAACTTTCCGTTTGCAATTTTATCGTCCATACAACATTCTACATTGTTCACGATCTATTTGCTAGTAGGAGGTGCATTGCGCGGTAGAGATAAAAATGTGTATGCCTAGTTTAGTATAAATAGGTGTGAAATACTATACTAAGGAAATACCTTTATATCCAAGGACATTACTACTATTTTAAAGATAAGGAAACAGGAGTAAAAAAAATGTAACACAAGGCCAGAAGAATCAAGAGATTACTGCTAGCGCACTTAGCAAACAATCTACCCGTAATTAAAGTTTACAAAAGAAAGAGCCAATGTCTTGAAGGACAGGTTTAATTAAAGTTCCCAAAGAAAAAAAAAAGGCTCATGAATTGAAGAGGTTGCCCTCTCCAGTAGGCAACTCTGAATCTCATCCAACAATCCTTTAACATAAGCAACCAAAAGTGAAGAATCCATTGATATCCCGAAATCTTTTCCTTGTTTTCCAGGAATATCTCTTCTGGAAATGACTACAGTCCCACTAGACACATCACGAGGTCCAATCTCAATTCTTAGAGGTACTCCATGCAAAGAAAAGCTAGGTAAATTTCAAAGCACAATTGTATTACATTCAACTGTAAAATAGTATTCTTGAGATCCACACACATAACTTTCAAATATGGAATTGTTAATAGCAACAGTAGACGTTTCAAAATTGAAACTTCATTCCCTTCCAGAAAACAAAGCCAACAATCACTGAAATAGCTCTCGTTGAGCTGGCCTTCAATAGATATCACTTCACTTGTTAATTATTCAAGCCAGTCTTCCAAAAGCTTTGGTTGAGCAAATCACAAATGGAACCTAACCACTCAAGTTGATTTTTTTTTTCAAACTAATTTTAAACAATACCTCTAGATGCTCAAGCGAAGTGAAGTAAGGTGACAAGTCTTAAAAGTAACCATGTTTGGTGAGATTTTTTAGAATTAACCTTCAGGAATATTAAAGCTCCAAGGAAGTTAGTTACTTGTGCCCTATGCTTGTTTGTTTAGACGTAGTTCTGCACCCGTTAACATTCTAAGAAAGAAAAATCATTTGAAATGTTTACATGGCCATGTATTTGGAATTTTCCTCTTCCTAAATTTCTCTTATTTTTACTCATTCTTTGGTGGGAGAAGTCCAGTGGCAAGCTAGATACCAGGCAAGATACAGAACATCTACAGAAGCAGGCAAACCTTGATCTTCCAAAAGTTGTATTTCCATCCAGGTGTTCTCTGATCAAAGTCATCGACCTTGACCTTTATTCCAGCTGCTTGCAGAGTTTCTTTCACTGATGATGTAGCATTAAGAACTCCAGTTCTGTCATTGCTTTCTTCCATATTGGGGCAATCAAAACCTGAAATCAGTTAATAATAAGAGCTATTCCATCTCAAGAAAGACAATTTTTAATGCACATAGCAAGGAAAATGGAAGGGCTAACAAAGCAGAAAGTTGTTACTTCACTGCACTGATAAGTCCAATTTCTGGACCAAAATCAAAACAAAAGTTGCAGAACTAATGTAAAATGATAGAAATACAAAATCTGTTGAAGTTTAGGAAACCAAATAAGGATCGAAAAAATCAGCTTTGCGAAAATTAATCAGTCCATTGAGTTAAAAACACTGCATCTATCCCCAGCCTCCATTCATTCTTATCTTCTGGGCATACACATTAGCTAATATTAGTAAAACAACCAAAAACAAGCAATACGCTTAGAAACAATTAATCAGTCTCTATCAGAAGAAGATTCTTCTCTCCATGTATGTAATGAATATGAAAATTAATAAAAAGAGAAGCTCTTGTGCAACAAAGATTTGAAAAAAGTTCAAGTCCAACTTAGGCATTTGATAAATCACAGTTAGCACTCAAGACCAGTACAAAGTCACATAAACTGGTAACGCTAAAAGCAAAACAAGCAAAGGCTAACGTAAAGCAGATCACAGGCAAACATTAGTATAAGAGAAATAAAATGAAAAACCAGTAAAAGACCTTTTTGAATACCTGTACAGGTGCCACCCTAGGTGGAAGCATTAAGCCAAGGTCATCCCCATGAGTCATGATAATACCTCCAACAAATAGCGTTCTAATAGCCCATGATGTCTGCCACACATGTTGCCTTTGTCCATTTTCATCTGTAAATAAACTAAACAAGCAAACAGACTGTTTAGGGAATTGCACCTTTCATATTTCAAATACCAAAAACAGAACAGAAAAAAATTGATGCAAAACAACTATATCTGTAGGATATTTTGCAAAAGTGTTCAGCAATGAAAAAAGCTCAATAAATTTTAAAATCATCATCAATTACACCAATTGCACAGCTTATAGAAAATCACAGAAAAGGTAAAATGGCAAACAAAAATTTTCTCAATACACAATACAAAACGATGACAATCAACTTTTTAAGTTGCATACAAGCAATCATCTGGAGAAACGAAGCAACAAGGTCAAAAACATTCTGTTTTTAAAATATAAAAAGAAGAACACCCCAAGGGATCCTTTTGGGGTTCCTGAAACATACACCAGAAAACCACTTAATGCATAGCATTTTTGGCGAAGAAAATCAAATCTTCAGACCAAATTACACAGACTAAACTAAGTTTAGGAAACACCGTACCTGAGTCTAAAGACTTAGACTGGTGTTTCACTAAAAAGAATGGTCTTGTCATCCTTAACCTTAATCTCATGATGTTTCCATTGTCCATGGATAGTATTATACTTGAACATATATGTCTACAATTTGTGCATGGCAAAGGATCACACAGTTCATAAAAGCACATAACTACAGATCCAGACCAAACTTGATCAACAACTACACTTTTTTTACTATCCCGACGAACTTTTACGCATCTCCTAATTCCTAAAGAAGAATCGCATAAAATTTCAATCTTGACTCATAATTAACTGCAATAACAAGTGGTTGTTGAACTTGCCATGTAATCAATGGTGATAAATGGATCATTAACAGCAACAAGTTCTACATCCAATCTTCCGACCGAATTACACAGACTAAACTAAGTTCAGGAAACACTGTACCTGAGTCTAAAGACTTAGACTGGTGTTTCACTGAAAAGAACGGTCTTGTCATCCTTAACCTTAATCTCATGATGTTTCCATTGTCCATGGATAGTATCATACTTGAACATATATGTCTACAATTTGTGCATGGCAAAGGATCACACAGTTCATAAAAGCACATAACTACAGATCCAGACCAAACTTGATCAACAACTACACTTTTTTTACTGTCAAAGCGACGAACTTTTACGCATCTCCTAATTCCTAAAGAAGAATTGCGTAAAATTTCAATCTTGACTCATAATTAACTGCAATAACAAGTGGTTGTTGAACTTGCCATGTAATCAGTGGTGATAAATGGATCATTAACAGCAACAAGTTCTACATCATCCCTCTGCAAGATGACTCTAGCAACCAAACGTCCAGTTCTTCCAAAGCCTGTTAGACAAGTTCTACATCATCTATGGCTTTAATTGAGATTAATTTTTTGAGAAAAAAATTATGTAGAAAATCGGAGAAGTATGGAAGAAATATTGGTCGGCCGGTAAATTTGATGAGAGAAGAGACGGAGGGATAGGGAAGGGGAGCGTTTACCAAGCCCTAACCCCCAATGGTGCAAAAATCAGAGGAGGAACAGAAATCAGAGAAGGAAAAAGATGAAGACTTTGATGGTTGTAATCCTCGAGCCACAAGCCAACCTTCAATTGATGTGATTTTCTCTGCTTCTGCACATCTTAGACTGGATCCGAAGAATAAAGAACCTCTGGATCTGGCGGAAAAAAGAACAAATGGAAAGAAGAACCGGTAGGCTGTCGAATTGCTAAGGAAAGCAGCCAGTTTCCCGAGCCAATTGAAATGCGGTGGTAGTGGCATGTTGACAAGATACCCGCATACTCAGCAAAATATTACTAACGAATAAAGAGAGACCAAGGGAAGCAAACACCCAAAAACCTTTAGCGCAAATGAGTAATTTCACGGTTAGCAAAATCACAACACCTACCTCTGCTGCTGTGATAGAGCGTTACTAACAACTATCATTACCAACCCTCAAACTCACAAGTAACAACTCGCATTTTTTTTTTCCAAACAAAGAAAAAGAAAAAGACAGAGGGCCCATCACCAGCTCCACCTCAGCATTGGCCAATCTCCAGCCGCCACATGGAGGACGACCATGTTGAGGTGTGAGGGTGGTGTTCATGCTTATATTATATGTTTATGATGATGATGATGATCAATGAGCCTTTTTTCCCCTTTCCTTCGTTGCCATTTTCTTTACATAAAATACAATCTATTGAACTAAAAAATCTGTAAGGCAAATTAAGTACTTTTTTTTCCTCACCACCTCTTAGTTTTTCTCGATCAATATTCAATAAGCCATCTAGCTTCCAATGCCCTCTATTTATCTCCCAAAATTTACACGTGCAGTTCTTCAAAACATAGCACTCTAATACTAGTCGTTGAGTTGCTCCCACCCATGGTCGGTATACTTTATTTCCACATTGATTGGTCTCGTTATTTCCATCATCAACTAACACTAAAATTTAATTCTCGAATTGTAACCCAGCTTTCACCTAAATGACCAATGATTGATGATATCTTGTCATTCAATCATTTTCAACTGATTACATTCGCGAGGAGGACGAGATAGATTGAATGGCTCGAGAAAGGGAGTGTAAGTGCGGAATCTCGAATTTGAACCCTTTCGCTTATACTATTGAAAAATAATAATATTCCCTCGATCTCATATATTTAGTCATGTTTGAATATATATGTTTTTTATGTATAATACACTCCATCAAAAAAATTTTATTTTATTTCACTTTTGCCGTTAATCATGTGTTGGTCAAAGTAAAAAGTAAAAAACAATCACATCACATTTGTCTTTATGCATCATTAATGAAGGGCATAAGAAAAATTTTAAAATATAAAATAATTTAAAATGTCAAATATAACAAATATTTTGGGACAGAAAAAAAAAAGAAAAAGTACGACACTCTCAATGGAACAGGGTAATATATCAAACAAACGTGGGTCCCACTACATGTCACATGTATACCTGTACAACCTACTAACCGTATTGGCTTTCGTGTGATCCCACGTGTGGTTTTTAGCCAATACTTCCGTACTCCTTTACCGATCCACCGGCCCACACCAGGATATTCCAACTACCAAAGTTAGAAAATTCTAAACTACCCACGTTGGAAAGTTCCAAAAGTAGTGGATAAACAGTACCAGATGCAAGATGTGACAGTCATGAGTTAACATCCGACAAAAGTACAAGAAATTAAGTAAAAGTCAACATACAAGAAAGTCCATCCCCAAGAAAACAACCAAGAAAGTGACCACGTTTCAAGAAGTCCAACCCGAGAGAGTATCTCCCCTTCCCAAATTAAATTTGCCTTCTGCAAGATAATTTGAACAATAGCAGGAATTGTCAAACTTAGCAATAGCATCAATGTTCTATAAGACATGCTCAATGTTCTATATTTTGCTCGAATTATAAATATATTTTTTAATTTATATTTTATATTTTTAACTACATTTTATCTTACATACATTACATCACAAAAAGTGTTACAGTAATTATTTCAAATAATATTTCAAATTTTGGATAGGGAATTATTTGAAATATTATTTGAAATAATTACTGTAGCACTTTTTGTGATATGATGTATATGAAATAAAAAGGTGAATGAAAATATAAAAATGTGAGTTGAAAAATATATTTATAATACAAGCGAAATATCATTTGAGATATTGGAACTATCCAAACAAACAATACTAGTATTGTATCCAAACACATTTAATATGCTGAACAAGCCATTGTTTGCAGAGAAAACGAAGATGAAGACGAACAGCTTCCCCTCAAAACTAATTTACACTAAAAGGAAACACCTTTAATTGATTAATTATTTAGCATGTGAATTGAGAACCCAAACCAAGAACTTATATTGGGGATGGCTCCGGATTGTTGCAGGATTAGTTTAGTAATTTGGTATTTCTTTTAGTAATTGATTTTAATCAGTGTCTTAGTGTTTGTATAGTGCATTGCTTACTAGTGTTTTATATGATGTAGTAGGAGTTGGGAAACTCCAGAGTAATGCTTTCTTGTAAACTTCATAAAAAGTGTCATTCTGCACCACCCCCCCAGATTGAAAAAGAAGAAAAAGACAAAGAATGTGTTAAAATACAAATATTAATATTCCTGACATAAATATGATAACCCAATATATTCGTGCCAAGATTAGTAAAATTTGATTTGCAAAATTATGATTCAAGATGTTGCGAAATAAAAGGAGAACAGAAAAATAGACAATTTTGTTATTTAAAAAAAAAAAAAGCATTAGCATGTGAAATTTATGTCGAAGTATAACTTCTTTCACAGTTTGTGCTGTGCTAAAAATGGAGAAACATGTGGTTTGTTTGGATACCTCAATTATCCCAAATAATATTTCGCTTGCATCATAGACACATTTTTCAACCTACCTTTTTATATTTCCAACCACCTTTTTATCTCACATACATCACATCACAAAAAGTGCTACAGTAATTATTTCAAATAATATTCCAAATAATACACTATCCAAATAATATGATGAATTGGTTTTTAGAGCTTTTCGGGACAATTTTTTTTTTAATTTATCTACTATAGTGAGTTTTTCTTTTTTTTTAACAGTTCAAAGCAATGGCATTTTAGTCTCATTTAATAAATTGAACTGTAGAACAGTAGAAGGGATCAAAGTGCAAAAAAAAAAAAAAAAAGAGCACAGTTAAAAAGTAAAGTGAAAAATATGGTAAGCTTAACTTGCAGGATCAAGTTGCTATTAGCCCTCGACAAATAGCAACTTGAGTTCTGACAAAGTCGGTAAAGAGAGTTGGAATCTACGGGGAAGTTTCCTCGAGTAGCAAGTGGGTCAAGAGGGTCCGAAAGGAAACTACAGGGAAGGTTCCTCTTTCCAATGCTCGTTTAAATTCCATACTTCCCACGCTACCAATAGTTGGCCCCTTCCCCCGTGAAAATATTGTCTGGATCACAAAGAAATTCCCCGCCCCATTAATGCTAGTGTCGGTAAATGTTTACTTAGATTTCCATCCTTGCCGTTGATTTTATATTCGCCTCTTCATTATCATTCTATAAAATTCATTCATTTTATGTTGGCCTTTAATAATCATTCTTTTTTTTTTTAAATCAAAGCAATAAAATTTCATTAACTTTTTAACAAATTCGCCGTTAGAAATGGTACAGTAAAGTCCGAAGAAGCTCTTCTCCAGAAAACACGATGACGTATGAATTTTGTATTCTTAATTAACATACAGCAATTTTCTTATGACTCTTACTCACCCATGAAATACTAAATACCTCTAGATTAGTTTCGTGCCCCGTCTTGTTCTCAATGGCAGAGCCTAAGCTAGATAAATCAGCATCTATACTTGAATTCCTAATTCGATTTATGACAGTTTGCATATCCCCTTCAAACTCGAAATCTTGGGTGTGTTTGGATTGGTAATTTTTTTTAAAAAATTGTTACGTTTTTCGTGGACACATTTTTCAATTATTTTTTTATTTTACATATATTAAATCGCTATATATATATATATATTACAAAATGTTTAAAAAAATGCAATCCAAACAAAGCTTGGTTTCCAACTGATAGCCCAACTAATAATTTCAGCTTCTTCTAGCCAAAAGACCTCATCAACCAATTGATCATTCCATGTGCCCGACGTCAACAAACTAGAAACTTTTGCATCATGGTCCAACCTATTTTGTGATGAATATGAACTTTATTTAAAAGTAGGTAGGTGGTCTAGGAATCGATGGACTCTTCCATATACCAGTTGACCTCCAAAACGCACTCTTATTCTACATCCCCAACTTAAGAAGTGCCTTCTTACCCTCCACTAAACCTCTCCAATTGAAGGAATGTCTAGAGTGTAGATCTTCTTCAAGAAAATCTTGATCAGGGAAATATTTATTAGACTTTAAAACTTGAAATAAAATAGAGTTTTGGTTGGTTACCAATCTCCAGGCTTATTTAGCCAGCAATGCTAAATTAAAAGCTTTAAGAATATTCCTAAAACCAAGAGCCCCTTACTGCTTACCTACACATAAATTATCCACTTGGGATCCTCGGTTATAAGTTTCCTGTGCCAATCTAATGTCACCTCTAGCATTGTGCCAAATGTCCTGTTATTATTTGTACTTTAATTTTCTAATAATTCAAATTGGTTTGGTTTAACAAAATTTTTCTCTACCTCTGCAACTTTAAACCAAAATTAACCGACCGGTCTAATTTCACTTGGGATACTTTTGCACGCCAACCACTCAAGATCGGTTGCTTTGGGTAAGGAAAAAGTAAAAGATAACCCTAAACAAAATTGCCGCACCGATGTCCAATAAGTTGAAAGTTGAAGAGAGGTCTTGAATGTTGTGTCACCACTCCAATAACGTCATCTTGGTCTCTGCACCTATTCTTGCAGAAAGTTTGGTCTGAATTGTGGCAGCGTTCCTTTTCCCTACGTCCCCGAGTTAAACTGCATCCCGATCTTCAGATCCTCTGCACTTCCCGGTTTTCAGATATCCGTGGAGGCCGACCAGATGAGGATCAAGAATTTTTGTTAAACCAAACTAATTTGAATTATTAAAAAATTAAAGTATAAATAATAACAAGACATTAGGCGCAATGCTAGAGGTAGCAATTAGGTTGGCACAGGAAACTTGTAACAGAGAATCTCAAGTGTAAATTATCCCAACCAGTCCAATGAATAAGTACTCTTCTATCCTCCTTATCCCCTCACCAAAAATCTAGCCCTCATTTGTTGACTTATCCCAACAAGTCCAGTGAATAACTCTTCCATCCTCCTTGTCCCCTCACCAAAATCTAGCCATCATTTGTTGAATATCCAGCAGGCCATTATCCGAGAAACTGAAGAATGACATCGCATGAGCAGGAATTGCTGCTTGAATCACAGCCTTCAATAAAATTTCTTTTCTTGCTTGAGATAATTGCTGCTTTTTCCAACCATTAATCCATTGCAGAACCCTTTCTTTGGTAGAGAATTAAAGACCTCGCGTTTAGATCTCCCAACTATATATAGCAGGCAACCCCAGGTACTTTTCATGTGGTTATATATGATTCATTGATTTATATCCTTATCATACTAAAATTAATGCTAATATCGATCAGTGTTTACTTCCCATGCCAATGCCTTTTACTTTTGACCATTATTGTTCTAATCTACATGATATATTTCCTCCGTGAAAAATTTGAGAGGCTCTAATTATCATCTGCAATCCCTTAGAAAAATTAAAAGTTGAACAAGCATTTCAGTACCCATTGTTACGAAGAAGTAAAATTCAGATCAAAATAGGCTGGGGTGTGACTGTGCTTAGCCTGACCTGGTAATAAACATATGGGAGAAAAAGTAGAGCATGCTCTTATTGGTACAGTGTGAAGACTTGATCGCCTTTTGATTAATTTGGAAACGGCCAGTAAACTACTTGAGTCATCTACTTTTGCTCACTGAATTTATTCTTAATCATCCATTTAACTTTTGAAATGGTATACTTTTAGTTATGTCAAATCTAATTTTAGGGTTCCATTTTTGAGGGAGGTGAGGTAATCTCATGCTCGCGATGGGGATGTGATGGTTAAAGTTAACCTCTAAATTCAACAAAAGGCCAAAAGTATATATATATTTTTTTCTAAAATTAAATAAGTCGACATTTCAAATAAAGATTAAGTAGCTACTTTACTCAGTGCTCTCAAAAACCTGCTTTTATAGAAAAATTGCATGTTAATTCATAATTTCACCGTGACAAACATATGTACGATGAATTACATCAAGTAAAAGGTAATTAAATACGAATTATTTGTAAGAAACAGGATGGGAAAGACTGAGCAATAAACTTTTCTTCTTTATTGCACTAGGTAAAAACGGGATGGCAACTAAGGACCAAGGGACAAACATTTTCCTTCCTTTCATTTTTTGTGAAAACGAGATGACAAGGACTGGACCAAAACAATTTTCTTTTTTACAAATTGTAAAATGGTTTGGAAAGGGCATTTTATTTTTAACGAAATGCTGTTGCTTTTCTCCTACATACTAGCTTCTTAAAGAATGAATGTGTGGATTAACATTGATTAATTAGCCAAGTTGTCCTATTAGTAAATCAATTCTTAAAGAATCAGACTTTGTTTGGATAGGAGTTTATTTAGATGATTTATTTGAAATAATTACTGTGACATTTTTTGTGATATGATATATGTGAGATAAAAAGGTGATTGAAATTTGTGAAATAAATTATTTTTTTCAATCATCTCAATTCAAACACACTCTAGCAGTGTCTTCTCCACTATCTGTCAGATTTAAGATTCGATTTCCAAACCTTACAATAGGAGTGGAAAAGATGTGAAGAAGAGTGAAAGGATTAAAAAGAAAAATACAGAAAAAAAAGATTGTTTATGTTGGCTAATACCTCTGTTCACTTTAGGGGGATAGATATTCAATAATGAGACTCGACTTAATTCACAGGCGACAAGCAGCAGCTTATGAGGTCTACAACTGGTACACGTAGCGACAGGTTGAAAATTAAAACTCAGATAATCACAAAAAACGGGTCAAGTTTTGCATGTGACCAAAACATACTGTTGTCCCCACTAGTTGGGATCCACTGGTGTCAAATTCAGTGTTAATTTTACTAATCATGTGATAGTAGAAGAAATTTAAATAAATAATATATAATAAATTAAATAAATAGAACACTTGACATAAATATAAAAATGACACTGAATTATCATTGAAAAAATGACATTGAATATCCCGTGTGTGCCGTCCCCACGGTGGCTAGTTAAAGGAACGTCGACCACGTTTACTTTTTGAGTCAAAGGATACGACAAAAGTGGGAACATTCTGTATTGCTTTGCGCATCACTAATGGCTAATCATCAAGTAATACAGACAGAGATATAAGTTCTAGGTATTGCGCTTTTGACCTATGTCAGTAAAAGAACAATGCCATCAAATCAAATCCAATTATTTGCTTGAGAAGAGAAAAATAATAATAACATAATGTCAACATTTCCATAAAAGTCCAAACATATTATTATTATTCTGTCGATCCCAAGTGTCGTACTTGCTATATTTTATAATATTTTAAAATGTTATTTTGTCGAGAAACTTAAAAAATGCCCTTTAATGTCTTTTTTCAATGTAGTACATTCATTTAATTATATGTACGTTGTTATTTAAATTTGAAATTAAATCTATAAAAGTAAAATTGAAAAAAATATAAATATTGCAATTAAATCACTATTTTTATAAAGTTGAATTTCTGAAACATAATAAACAAATTGACACGGAGGAAATAAAGAAAAAAAAATAAACATTTCAAAGACAAACTTTATACTGCAAAACAACGTGACACTTTTATCTCTGAATCCGCCACCCTGCCCCCAAATCTTGGCTGTGGATGGATGTTCAAAGCACTCCTATGACCTGTTTCAGAATTCACATATAACTATATATCAACAAAAGCATAAGAAAGCCACCAAAATAACTAAAAATTCCCAAAAGAAAGAAAGAAGCACCAGTCTCGCGCGGAAGGACTTTTATGGCTAGCCCTCCAAAGATGAAGACGCCAATAAATATCAGCTTGGCTCGGTAGTCAACAGGGAAGACCAACACAACCGGAATAACGGCGAAGAAAATTGAGACTTCGCCCATGAAACTAGATGCCTTGGGGTAATGGCGTTGTAGGTTAATAGATGCCCAATAAGCACAAAACATCAGCAGGATAGCCATGCATGACAACGGGAAGGTTGCAGGTACGGGTGCAAGCTTTTGAAAAGATTGCAAGGCTATGCCAATGCTAATGGCGGTAAAACAAGGTCCAATCACCGCCGACAGCGACTGCAAGTTCGTCATGTTATTGTTATCAACGGTGACTCGATCATGAGGATCATCACCATCATCAGGTCGCCGATCGGCAGTAGGCAGGTACTGCTGCCCTTCTATATCAAATCCTGCACTACGCTCGCGTTGGGCGGGGGGCAACTCAGGTTGAATTGACTTCTCCCTCTTCCACAGGCGGAGAAGGTGTCCAATGACTGTCGACAGCAACGGCAAGTTCGTCATGCTATTGTTATCAACGGGGACTCGATCACGAGGATCATCACCATCATCAGGTTGCAAATCGGTTGTAGGCTGGAGCTTCTGCTCCTCTATATCAGATCTTGAACTAGGCTCGATTTGGGAGGTGGGCAACTTTAGTTGGGCCGGCCTTTCCGGGACCAGCCGCTTGGCTGGTTCGATCATAGTGAAGAAGAAATAGAGAACGTAGCTGAATATTGGCCAAGTTTTTTTCTTTTTTTTTTTTAAATCAGGGAAATATGTTTTAGCTGCTGAGAAATGATCAGAACTTATGAGAGTATTTATAGGGAGGGATTTCAATTTTGATAGAGGGGGATGGGAATGGTTGGTGACAATGTCGACTTTCCCACCAAACAGTCGCGGAACAGGGTCTGTCTTTTTTGTGGGAAGGGGGGTGGGTGGTGTTGGGGGAGTGGTGGGAAGGGTGGAAGGGAGGGGAGTGGTGGCGCGGAACAGGATCTGGCTTTTGGAGAGGGGGCAAGGTAGGCTTAAAAGTTAGGGACATGGGCTTTCCTAGCAAATGGTGGCCGAGCAAGGATCTATTTATCGAGAGGAAAGTGGTGCATGCCCGCTGCTGTTCAGCTCCTTCCTCTGCCATTGCCACCAATTTACTGTTTCTTTTAGAAATTTAGACGCTTGCCAAATTACCGTTCTTCTAGAAATTTGACTGCCAAATTACGGCCACACCACATGGGTTGGATTACGCAGAAAAATGCATTCAAAAAGCTCCGTTAATTTGGACATGCATAATGCGAATTACAAAATATGTCTTCATTTATGATATTGGTTGGGAATATTTTCTGCTACATGTTGTTCTGCACCTGCAGTTGGGCGTGCAATCTGAATTTTGTTGTGACCCGGCAAGTTGCAAGTGGCCAGTTAGACTGTGAAAGCAAAATACAGTCTACTTTGTTGACTTTGGTTACCGCTGCGTGGCTTGGGACTTCTTTTTTTCCGGAGACGAGAGGAAAGTGGTGCATGCCCGCTGCTGTTCAGCCCCTTCCTCTGCCATTGCCACCAAATTACTGTTTCTTCTAGAAATTTAGACGCTTGCCAAATTACCGTTCTTCTAGAAATTTGCCTGCCAAATTACGGCCACACCACATGGGTTGGATTACGCAGAAAAATGCATTCAAAAAGCTCCGTTAATTTGGACATGCATAATGCGAATTACAAAATATGTCTTCATTTATGATATTGGTTGGGAATATTTTCTGCTACCCGTTGTTCTGCATCTGCAGTTGGGCGTGCAATCTGAATTTTGTTGTGATTCGGAGGGGACTGAACCATCACCGGATCAAACGGATATACAACACACCCGCTTAAATTTTTTGAAACAAACCACTTAAATGTGACATTTTGGTGGGAGGCAAGGCCCACCAAACTAAGTGGTGGCCACCAGCCTTTGGGCTGGTGGTTGCGTGGCTTGGGACTTCAAAGAGGTCGAATTCGCGTAGATTCCTAGTGCAGCAACGTTGACGATGACTAACGTTTTTGGATAATATCCTTTTAACTCCCTTGAAATGACTTTTATATATATATATATATATATATATATATATATATTTAGGGATAATTTTAGAAACCTCCCTTGAGGTTTTCGGCAATTACAGAGAGATCTCCTCAAGTTTCAAAAATTACACCTACTTTTCTTGATTTTAAGGTTTATGTAACAATATAGACCCAATAGCCTATAATTTTTTACAAATATCCTAAAATACCCTTCTTCTAAAGAACAAGACAAAATAAAATAAGGTTTTAATTTTTAACTTCTTGTACATGGCATACTCATTAAAGCAAACAGAGTGTAGTGACTCCAACTTATCTCAAAATTCATTACTTGTTAATTCTTGCCTAATGCAACTCACTACTACCACTAGGTCCACTACCAATACTAAACCAAAAAATGCCTCTATGTCCCTAAGAACATAATTCATCATTGCTTTAGCACTCTTAAAAATAGAAACAAAATTCTACCTTCATAGTAAAATCACAACCAATAGGTAAATAAAAAAGGGAACCAATGAGTTTTTTTAATTGCTAGATTTTTTTTTGCTTAACAAACATAATAGTCACTTCTTTATCTTCCAACTCTCAATTTCATTTTTTTCCCTATATCACTGCCACTTTTTTCATCTTTCCCCAGTTTGACAATAAAATTCATAGTCTACACCTTGTTAATTTGGTAACTTCAATTGACTAACATTTGTAAAGAGTAAAACTATTAAAAAAAAGAAAGGGTCTAAAATTTTTGTTGTAAGAGAGAGACAAAAAGACAAAAAAAAATACAAATAAATTTTGAAAATGGTAAAAAAGTGATAGTGGTGTGATTAGTAACAATGGAGTGCGGTATTTGGTGAGAGGGAGAAGCACTTGTAGGCAATGTTTTAAAACTCGGACCGTCAATTGAACTGGTGAAGTGAAAGGGTCGAGGTTCAACCGGTCGAACCGATTCAACATCGGTTCAATGAATTTTTTTAAAAATAATTTATATAAATATATATATGCACAAAATAAGACATGCAATAGACTAATTTAAAACTTTATATGATGAAAAGTTTACTATTTTTGAATAACTTGGATTTTCAAAAATAATTTTTTAAATTATAAGTTAAAACAAATAAATTTCATTTTAATTTCAATTATATCTACCAAAATAATCTTAAATCTAACCCAAAAATATCACAATATTTTGAAATTATACAAAATTCACGTCTATGAGAATTTGACATTGTGAACTTAAATTTTAATTTACGTCTTTGGGATTTAGAGATTGCAATTAAAAAAAGAAAGTTTGGAGTTCGAAGGAAGTCAAGAGAATCGAAATAGAAATGCAAACTTGATAAGAAACAAAAAATGAGATAAAAGTGAGTGGTTGTAGCATTAAATAATTTGGGTTAAAGAACAATAATTCTTTTTTAACTTTTTTCAATTTAATGGACAAAAACAAAATTAAAAAGATGGAAGAAAACATCAATAAATTAAAACTAAAGAGGTTTGATTAAAAAAGGAGTGACAAAAAAAAGAGGAGAGAGAGAGAGTGTGTGTGTTGAAGATTAAAAAGAAAGAGTAATGAGAGAATGAGATTTTGTAAGAAAAATGAAAAAAAAAGAAATATGAATGTTTGTTTTATATATATAAGTTATCAAAAAAAATAAATAAGATATGATGGTGCAATGGTTACTATATTGGTCTTCTTTTACAAAAGTCTTGAGTTCGAATCTTGATAGAAGCATTCCCCAAAAAGGGGAAACTTGAAAGCCGGTTCGATCCGGTTCAACAGTTTTCACGGTTTTGATCGGGTTTGACCGATTTTCTGACAAATTCAACACTACCATAGAACCCGGACCGGTGCCATGGCCAGTTCGCGGTTGAACTGGTTGAACCGCCCGGTCCGATCTGGTTTTCAAAACAGTGGTTGTAGGAGTAAAAGAGAGAATAGTATGAAAGTGGAATGGAGGGAGGGAGAAAGAGATGAAAATTAGAAAATTGATGGAGATTGTTCTTTGAGATTAGAAAATTACAAGTAGGATAATAAGGAGTATTTTTCGACTTTAAATGTCCCTTTATGAATTAACTATTAAGTGGGGGACATATTAGTATTTTGATTGGACCAAGGGAGGTCTATGTAATTATTGGAACTTCGGGGGAGCTAAGTGAAATTGTCAAAAACTTCAAGGGAGGTTTCTGAAATTATCCCATATATATATATATATATATATAAACACATATATTAGTCGTTCCATTCATAAAGAGATGACTTATATTTTCTTTTTATTTTTTTTAGCACAGGAGGGATTGAATTTAAGAAATGAAGATGAAACATGTTGAAAGAGGTTAAATTCATGTAGTTTCCCACCACGTTGATGAGGATTAACATTTTTGGATTAGGATTTAAGAAATGGGGAAGGAATAAAAGGAATTGCATCTAAACCTCTAACTTCAGAAATCTCAACCTTAACCATTAAATGAAGGCCTTATCAGCAAGAAATGACATCTAAGTTTTATCAAGCATAATCAACAAAATATTATGGCAGGAATAACAAAGTATATTACGTATGCATATTACATGAAACTTATCACAGAAGCCCAATTAAAGATTTAGTAAAAAAAATAAGTTTGGAAAAATTAGGCATTAAATCATGTTGTAGTGGTACATGTCCTTGACAAAATTATGGAATTACAATTCCAGGTTTCACCTATATTGAAAATTAATTTTAAGTTAGACATTTGAATATCGCGTATTAGACTAATTATAATTTTATCAACTTATTGATATTACATGCATGTATGTGAAAGTAGTATAATATAAGTTACTTTCAGCGACTCATAAAATACATATTAATCTGAATAAAAATCTTAAAACTTTAACATAAATTGAATCATTACTCGTGAAGTATAATACATTAAAAAATTTTAGTTTGACTATTTTTGATATATTTAAAAAAACATACATGACAGAGGAGTTCTTTTTTAATTATAATCGCTGAGGTGTAATATAAGTTTTTACTACATATGTTGTCAAATACTATTGAATACATAGCATATTAACGAAAAAAAGTTTTAGAAAAGCTTAGCAATATTAAAGTATTCTTATTTCCAATATCTGTAGCCAAATTTCTAAACATATTTCAATTATAGGTATGATTTTGTATGCATAATTTTGCTAAACTTGTACTTTTTTGCAGAATATGTAAACTCAGCCAAGGAAAGAGAAGAAAAATTGCCTCTTTCTTCTTTCTCTAGTTTGAAATTCTCCTAGCTCGTTAGTCAATTAGGATTTTTCTTGTCAATTTATGTGTTGAGATCTTGACTATAAGTTAGCACTTTTTTTAATTTAAGCAGTTTCGCATTTGAAGGTTCGGGTTAAAGGAGCGCGTGTGGATCACTATTAGAGGCCGAGCACGTATGCAGGTTCAATGCATCTCTTAAAATTTTCCCTACATTAAATCTCCATCAATTTAAGAACATTTTCGCTTATTGAGATAGTCTTAGTTATGTGAAATTAATCACGATCTACTTCAAAGAATCAAGCTCTTAGTTATAGGAAATTATTATTTTTCTGCTGCAGAGGGATCTGATGTGAATTAAGGATGAACCTGTTCGGCTTTGGAATTAAACTCCGAGCCCCAGTCCAAGAAACCATTATAGGGTTATTATTTCATATCATTTCTTTAATAATTTTATATATTTTTATAATTATTTTCAAGTTGGTTTATCCACGCTTGTTGATAAACTTTAACGACATATTATTGTTGGTTTATCCACGGTTTCTGGAGCTAGTTCGAGGGTTTTCTTGGTTCTTTTCTTTCTGTTTTTTCAATCTCATCTAGAACGTCTACTGTTTTCTTGATATCGCTTCAATGTCGTAATAAAACACCAAATGTTAAATCTAAAAATTACCAAAAACTTGAATCTTTTTTGGACGGTGGTATACTGCCAAGTACCTATGGTCGTCGGTTAGATGCCAAATCGAATCAACAGCCAACATCACTATCCACAGCCCCCCGCCTCTCCCCCTTCCCCTATTCCCCATCCAACAAGTGAACAAATTAAAAAGATTCAAATTTCGTGCTCCTGTAGGTCCATCTAGTACAGAAATGTTATCAAAAATTGATGCGCATTCTAGCCCATTCTAGTGGCTGAAAAACGCTGGTTTGATCTGTAATATTCCGCCTCACATTAAGAAGTTAAATGCCATGAAACAAATCTATGTGCTGTGTCTGAACACTCCATTCTTTGGTCTAACGATGACAAAATCCAGAAACAAATGTATAAGTTGTGT